TTGTTTTGTTTTTTGTTGTTTTTATTGTTTCCCCGTCTGAAACACAGAAGGAGTGGATAGAAAGAGACAATCACTGGCAACAAATGGACAAACGTGCTTGACACAATGGATGCATGTATGGATTGTGATAAGAGTTGTAAGAGCCCCCAATAAAATGATTTATAAAAAAGAAAAGTGAAAGAGACAATCACTGATGCAATGGTTTCTTGGTGATATGCAGGAGGGAACAGGAGGGGATTTGTTGAGGAAACAATGGATCCGGGAGCATTAGAACTGATTGTGATGATGGATATACAACTCTGTTTAAAAGCAATTTAACCATGGAAGTATGTGATATGTAAATACTCTATCAAGAAAACTACAAAACCATGAAGAAAGCAAACTTGACCAGTGGTTACCATGGACGAAGGAGCAAGTGTTGTTGTTTGGGGGGCGCTGAGTTTATGTTAAAAGTGATGGAGTAATTCGGAAAAGGCTATCAATAATAGTTGTACAACACGAAGAGTATAATCTATGGCCCTGGATTATACATGTAGAAGTTGTGGATCAGGAGGATGTTTCGTTGGTTATATTTTTGCCACAATTAGAAAAAAAATTACATGAATAAAAGTGAATACAAGGAAGAAGAAAATGTTCTAGAACTGACTGTGGTGACACTTGTACAACTCCTCTGTATATGACTGGATTATTGAATTGTAGGGCAAGTGGATGAAGTGCACACAAAACTGTTAAAAGAAGAAGAAGAAGAGTTGCTGTCTCGGAAACCCTTAGGGGCAGTTCTATCCTGTCTTCTAGGGTGGCTGTGAGTCAGAATCAACCGGATGGCAGTGGATGAACGCTATGATGAGAGGGTACGAGAGGAATCAGCTTTTTTTTTTAATGAGAGGAATCAACTTTCAACCAAGAGCTTTAAGGTCTCTTTTCTTTGTGAAATGGTGGAAAATTCTACTTTTGATGTTTCAGTTCTGTGGTTAAAGGTCTTCCAAAAATACAAGTGTGTACATACATGAAGTTGGTCTGGCATCCTCTCTATGGTCCGGTCCAACTTGCACATTCCATGACTCGAGTCATCACCTGAGTCATCCCTGTATTTCACGGGTGAAACAGGTCAAGCCAAAAAGTTACAAGACCCTCCTTGGGTCCCCAGTTCTAGCTGAAGATAGAACCCAGGCTGCTTATTAGAAAGGCTCCCGCCGTAAACACCATCAAGCCGATTCCTTCCGAAAGCAATGTCCTAGGACAGAGTTGAGCTTCGCCACAGGATCTCCATGGCTGTACATCATTAAGAAGTAGAATGCTTTCTCTTTCTCCAGCTGAGTGGCTGACTAATAGGTTCGAATTGCAGACGTTTCCATTAGCAGCCCAACACTTAACCCACTGCACTGCCAAAAGGTGAGAGGTTCAAATCCATACATCAAACCCAAGGGAGAAAGAGCTGGCATTCTGCTTCCATAAAGTTTACAGTCAATAAAACCCTATGGGGCAGAAAAAAACAAAACCCTATGGGGCAGTTCTACATTGTCACTTGGGATCATTACCAGTTACCATCACTTGGTCAACCCCCAACAGCAATGACCCAGTCTAGAGGTACAATCTAGGGCTGTGTTGCAGACCAAAACTTACTGATTCACACCACTCTGTTAAGGTTCAAGGGTGACCACTCTGACAAGAGTCTGTGATGAGTCATTCTGCTGAAGGCTAGGATTGCTGTGCTAATAGGGGACCTTTGGCAAATATGACTAAAGTCTCTGAGACTCGGTTTCCTGTGTTCCTCATCTGTAGAATGGGGTTAAGAATCTCCTATGTTTTAAATCTACAAAGCCACACTAAAAGTAAATGTATAAAAAAATAAATGAAAGAGCTTCTTAACATTATTTAGCCAACTGAGTGAGGGCACTGTTACCCCTGACAACGAAACCAGCTGCTGCTGGGGAGACATGAGTTCAAATGAAATGTGTTGCAGGAGTTTCTTCATAAAATATTTGTAAATAGGTTGAATGCCTATTACGCTCAAAAGACAACTGGAACAAAGCAGTATAAATTGCACACAGGTAGAACTCTTCAGTACGACAGCTGATAGAAGGAGATTTTAGTTGAAGTTCATACTGGAAATCACAGGGTTTGTTTTCTTCTTACTCCAAACTCCCTGTCATAGAATGTATTCTGACTCACAGTGACTCTGTAGGACAGAGTTGAACTGCCCTTGTGGGTTTCTGAGGCTGGAATCTTTACAGGATTAGAAAGCCTCATCTTTCTCCCTCAGATTGGGCTAGTGGGTTCGAACTTCTGACCTTTTGATTAGCAGTCCAACACACAACCCACTACCTAGCCATGCCCTCATAAGCCTCCAAGATAAAGGTATTCTTGATATGTGCTATTGATTTCCCCACTAATATGCCAATAAAAACACCTTTTGGTCATGTACGTTGTCACCTGAAATGCTTAGGTCAATACAGCTCTCCAGCTACCACCACACTCTTTTTACCAAACAGGAGCAAAACAGGAGAATGGAAAAAACCACCCTATCCACAGATACATACCACTGCACAAATTAAAAACAGAATGAAACAGAACTACAAGAAATCAAAGGCAAATATTTCCCAAACACAGACTGGACATTCATTAAAAAGTTCCCTGTTTTTCAAACACAAATATCCAAACTGCCACGATACCCTCCTTAGCCATACACAATGAGTGCCCACAGCAACTACAGTGTAACTGAGACCTGTGGTGAAACGCTTAGCTTCAACTGTCCTGGACTAATTTCACAACTAAATTCTGCAACATAAAATGTGTACAATAAGACTTGGAGTTGTGGGTGAAAGAAATAACCTCCTCTCTTGGAGACTACGGACATTCTCCCACAGCAAGGTCTGCAGATGGTAGTGAAATGAAATCTTTTTAAAAAAATCATTTTATTAGGAGTTCTTACAGCTATCATAACGTTCCATAGTCCAATCACATCAAGCAGTATTGTACAACTGCAACCAGTCATTTCAAAACATTTTCTGTCTTGAATTGCTTGATATCAGCTCCCCTTTATCCTCTCCCTTCCCGCCCCCCACTGGAGCCCCCTTTTTTTTTTTCCACATCTTACACCATCCAATATATCCATTCTCACACAGTTCTGTTGTTTGCTCCATTCAGGTGGGGTTATACAGTCGTCAATGCTATCTGTAACCCCTGCCACCCTGTCCCTCCACCCCTCACATCCTATTCCCTCAGGAAACCATTACTCCTGTTCCTATTTCTGAAGGGTTATCTACCTTGGCTTTCATGAATGGAACAATCTTAATTATAAAAATGGACATATACAAGTCTAACATGATTAATGGGATAAACAAAGTAAGAACCATGATAGTAAGGGGAGGAAATATTAAAGAACGAGGGGATAGTTATGTGTTTCATCAGTGCTATATCACACCCTGGATTGATCATCTCTTCTGTGTGGCCCTTCTGAGAGGGAGTGTCCAATTAGCTTGCAGGTGGGTTTTGGGTCTCCACTACATCCAAGCCCCTTCACATCGATTTGGTTGCTTGTTTTTGAACTTCTGGCATCTTTTCCTGTTGACACCTCATGATCACACAGGCTGGTGTGCTTCTTGCATGTGGGCTTTGTTGCTTTCCTACTAGATGGCTGCTTGTTTGACTACAAGCTTTTAAGATCCCAGACAGCTACATCTTTTAATAGCCAGGGACCATCAGCTTTCTTCACCACATTTGCATATGAACCCATTTTGTCTCCAGCAATTGTGTCAGGAAAGTGAATATCTGACAATGCAGCATTATTAGAACAAACTGATGTTGTACTGAGGTAAGATTTAAGTAGAGGCCCAAAGTTCATCTGCTTCCTTAATGCATAAATAAATAAAATCTTTGAAAATCATGACCATACTGTCAGTTGACTTATGGTCGTTTTAACCCCTGAATCTCTCTTGAATTCTTCTGAATATGTACACTTGCCAGAAATTTTTTCTTTAACACATCTACTATTTTCTGGCGATGAAGGGGCATAGATGAGCATTTCCTTTCTGTGGTTACATAACTTCTCTCTCAAAGTGCTAGCGCCTGGGGCTACATCAAAACCAATGGAACTGGAAAACACGATCCGAACCACTGCACTACCATTTCTTAGAAAAATGGGGATTCACTCTGATTTTCAGAGAACTTTACAGCCATTCTAGAATGACTTTCTGAATAAATGAATCCGAACTATTAAAGGCCCAAACACTTCAGGCTGAACAAAAGCAAAGCCGCCAAATGGGTCATGCTGTAACATATACCGCATAGCCTACAGTCAAGGGCAGGACAGGAGCTAAATGACTTTTTTAAGCGGTTAACTTCTTTCATTCCCTTTATATTTTCCAGGACCGTTTGAGGAGCTTTCACACGAGTCGCCAAAGCCTGTGGACAAGCCTTTCCTTCCACTGCCGGGGCCCCAGAGAGCAATAGGCGTGCAGCGCCGAAGGGGAACGGACTGAAGGCACTAAAGCCCATTGCAAACCCCACTACAACCCAGAGCCAGCACCTGCTCCCACCCCGCGGCGCGCCCACGGTGGCACTGGCTTTCGTTCCCAACCCGTGGGTAACTTTCCCGCTCCAAGAGGAGAAACCTGTTAGCATGGCTTTTCCGTCGATAAATGCTATATGACGACGAAATAACTAGTTCTGCCGAAGTTGGAGACTCAATCATTTACATACCACCCAAAGCAGGTACACCCACACAGGTGTCACCCACCATCCGTGAGGACACGCTCTGGTCGGCTGAAGGGGACGCCGGGTGGGAAACGTCTTCCAGGGACCGCTGTGCCGACTCAGAGCGACCCGGCGGGACCGGGCGGCACTGGCCCTCGGCGATTCCCGGACTGCAGCTCCCGGCACGAGCGGGGCGCCCCGTCCTTCTCCCGCCCTTTCAACCGCCCCGGCCCCCGGACTGCCATCGGGTCCATTCTGACCCGCAGCCCGGTCCCCAAAGGACGAGGAACCCGGTGGCTGCTCACCCAGGCGCTCCAGAGACGCAGGCTCCGCACCTCGCGGCGGCGGACGCTCAAGCGGACCCCCGGCCACTCACAAGGGCAGCATCTCCGCGGGGAGCCCGTGGACTTCCCAGACGAGGGCACCGCCGTCGCCCCACCTCCGGCCCGGCCCC